TTACGTTCTCTTAGTGTCAGGTGTAGAGGCAATCAATTCCTCACTCTCTATAACGATTTTGTCAACAACTTTAATTTCTCTGAATTTTAGCTCAATTTCAAAACTTCGAAAGTCATACAAAAAGGTTAATAAAAACGTAAACTGGCATGAAACAAGAAGCCATTCAAAAGACTGTGCAACGTTTCCACCTTTGCGATTATATTTGCTTAAGGAAGGCGTCATAAAAATACCAAATATTATTAACGAAATTATCATGACAGCAGTCGATGTAATTTGAACTAGGAAAATTAATTGGTATTTATTTTTAAATTTTCTATAAGTAAAATAACTCTGTGTTGCACAAAATAAGGTTGTACCACCAAAATACATTGCAGCACCGAAATAATGAATAGCTTTTATGTTTGATATTTGAAATGCAGCCACCGTTAATTTACCAAAAACCAGTGTTAAACCACAAATCAAAGAAAATTGATTGATCCAATTACAACTTTTATCTTTTTCTATGAATAACTTTACTTGGTAATATCTAATAACAATTATAATAAAAGTCAGCATGCAACTAAGCGACAACCCAAATGTAAAAATACTCGAGTTAGGTTTTTCGTCGCCGGTATCACTAATAAATGCAACGGACGATGGAATTATGTTTCCTACTTTAACTCCAATTATATAAGAAATAAAGCATGTGAAAACTGAAATCAAAATAGTAGCAATCAGTAGTGCATACAAAAGTTTAAAGTTTACCATTTTTAACTTTTCTTCAACCATTCCGAAAACTTGGTTAAAGTTTTTTCTTCCGTTCGTTTATAAAATTTTTACATAACATGATAAAGCAAGGTTTATTTGTTTGATTAACTGTATTAAAACTTTTTTCTTTATGAAAATGAATAATACTCGTTTAATCTACAATCTTTTCGTTTCCATTATTAATAACGTTTTAATAATTAATCTTTTCTTCAGATTAAAATCTCCTAACTCCTAAAATATGTTTAAAATGTTTAAAACATTCTTATTAAACTTTAAATTCTAATCTTTAAAAAGCTAAACAAAAAACATTCATTGTTTAACGTTTCAGCATTTTTGCGCAATGTTTACGCACATAAAAAGAAGTGTCAATTGGTTTACAACAATTTTTTTTGAATGAAAACCAGAATCGAATTCATTTATTGACTGAAGACTCGAATACATATTGTATGAATGACGTTGAAATATAATTGAATTCAAAAGTAAAAGTTTAGTTTTAAAAATTCTTCAACTTACAGCTGAACTTATTTAAAAAAGTTGATATATATATATACGTAACGTAAAAATAAGTTATATATATATATACGTAACATAAAAAAAAAATACTTTTTCTATGGTAATTTTAAGTTTCATGCCTATACGGCAATCATCTGCCATTAAATATATTAGATGGGTGAATTTTTTGAAAATTTTTACACTGATCAAATCTAGGTTTTTATATATCATTAGCAAAAACATAAATTCAATATATCAAAATTAAAAAATTATCAAAATCAAACAATTCCAAAAAAAGTTAAGACATTTATGATTTATGGATATATGGATTTGTTACTTTATGATATGATTTTTTACTTACCGATTTATGGATATATGGATTTGTGGTCAAAATAAAGCTTTGATTAAAACTAAAATTCATATAAATGTGTCAAATGCTTGTAATTTGGTATCAAAAGATAAGTGTAACATTGGACTACAAATTTACAATTCCCTCTACCCGCCAGATGTACCCAGAGGGCTAGAGGGGATGCTGAACCGCCAAAAATTTCGTTTTTTTTTTTTTTTATAGAAGAGCGTCTTTTTAAAAAAATATATAATTTTTATTCACAAAAAGCTATCGTAATATTTTTTCAAACCACCGTCAAATATAAGAAGTGTATTTTTATGTAATTTTGGATATGGGGTGGTGGTTTAACACATTCTATTATCAAAAGTACTTCATTCATATAAAAGTTTCTATATTTATTTAAGAAAACAAATCTTTGATTAAAAATTAAAAATAAATTTACTACTTTTTATTGATAAATTTACTATAAGATTACTGTAAATTTACAACTAGTGGCTCACACTGGAGGAAGAGGGTGTAATCTCTCTCCCCCCCCCCCAACCAAAAAAAAACTTTTAGTTTAAAATTAAACTTAATAAAAGAATTACAATACTATAATTAAATATGATAGATTTAGATTTATTAACACCTTTACAGAATTCATTTTTTAAAGGAAAGAGCAGTGACCTTCTCCAACCTAAAATTTTCTTTTTTTTTCCTTCAAATGAAACATAATTTGAAATAACATTTTAATGAATTTGTATCTTGGCTTTTTTAGTTAATGATTTAGATAATAAATTCTATTAACAAAATTGTATAATAATCATGACTAAGCATAGAGACGACGTAAATGTGAACCAAAATGAGCAGCAGTGGCGCAGTGGTTAGAACCCAGAGGTCCAAGGTTCGACTCCAGCTCTAGCTCAAAAAGCAACATTGATACGGAAGGAGGCGTAAAGTTTTTGTTAAATGCTCTCCCGTGGTGCTCTGTGATAAGATCGTAGGGACTTTTGGGAGCACCTAAAATAATAAAAAAATAATAATAATAATAAAAAATTAAACTAAAAAAGTTTACAACTGTTCACAACAGTAATCAGATTGAAAAACAATTATATATAATTGTACCTATGGGGCTAGATATTAAAAAAAAAAAGATAGTCATCTAAAAAAAAAAAAGCTACCACTGTTACAAGAGTTTAGAATTTTAAATTTTCTAAACATTTATATTATATGCCATTTAGAGTGATTGTAAATGTACAAGTCACTAATTCTAATCGAGTTTAAAAAAATACAAATTTAAGTAAGTCTAACCAACCAAAAAAGTTCACAATTGTTCAATAACTTGTATTCGGTATAAAAAGCATTTGACTGAAAAATTATTATATATATTCTCACTGACGGGGGTAGATGTAGATACAGCTTTTCACTGATGGGGGTAGATGTAGATACAGCTAAACATTAAAAAGAAAAAGAGAGTACACAAAAAAACAATAGCACACTATTAACATAGTTTGGAATTTCCTTTTTTTAAAAAAATCTATAATCACCATTTTCTGTGTTTGACTTAGTAGCTAAATTTAGAGTACAAAAGTAAACTAAATTTAGAATACCTAAAGTTACAAATATTAAAAAGTGAAACTAACCAAAAAAATGAAAGATAATATAATATAATTTGACCGGTTGACAAACTATTATATCTAATCTTACCGATAGGGGGTAGATGTAAACACAACTAAATATTAAAATAAAAAATATTGTAAACGCAAAAAAAACACCTAGAGATTTGTCTGGAAATTTTGATATAAATTCTTAAATACAAACATATTGTCGGCGATTTATCATTTAGTGGGGATGCCACTAGAGATTGCAAAAAAAAAAAAAAAAAAAAAAAAAAAGAAAAAGAAACTGCTCTTAAGTTTTCAAACTTTTTGAAATTGTTTCTTCTTAAGAAATCTAAAGTTTTCAAATTTTTTTTAGAAATTGCTTTTATATCACCTGCTCGTTTCATAAATATTTTAAAACAATAACATATAGCAAGTAGCTAGTCTAACATGTATTTTGTTTATAACTTGGTAAAGTGTTAAAAAAAACTAAAGAAAAAAATATAATTAATAAACTAACTAATTGTATTGCTCTCTTTTCAACATTTAAAAGCTTTAAAGTTGTTAAAAAATGTAAATATAATACACAGATTTATAGTGTCAGTTCCGTTCCGCAAATTACCTCAAAATTGTTTAGATAAGTAAACATTTCTTGAATTTGAGAAGATTTGAGAAAAAATCCGAGAAGCAGAATATGACTTATTGGTATTACTTTAATATAAATTCTTTAATATAATTTTTTTTAACACTAAATATCTTTCCTAGCCAAATTTATCATTAAGTTTGAAATATTTATCTTACTAAACGTTTTTGTGATAATTTACGGAACGGAACTGACCCGTGTATTTGTATTACTATTCAATATATTAAAAGTTTAACTATTTAGACTGATATCAAGAAATACTAATTTAAATGTATATAACTTATGACACGCGCAACAACTTTATCAAATCTTTACCTATTAAACTGTAAATTAAACTTTTAGCTATTTTGTATGAAAGCTATGTCTAAAGAATAAAATAAGCTAAGAAATTTTTACCAGAAGAGGGCGAACTTATTACTGAAAATGCCACTTAACGTAAGTTAATACGTTACACGGAAAACAAGGTAAAAAAATTGCTTCAACTAGTAGGTCAGATTTCTGCAAATCAGTAAAGCGGTTTGTTTTAGAAACTTTCACAAGAAGTTGAGAATTCTATATCAATTTAAAAAGTATATAAAAATTTATCAGAGGTGACCGGCTTAAATAAACTGCTTTTTTTAATACTACATATTTAACTTACGTTACCGAGCGATTATTATCGATAATCGCTCGGTAACGTAAGCTCGGTAGCTGTCATGACAGGGTAATAAAATGTTTAGGGATTTCGCTCAAATTTTTATTATTTTTATTTATGTATTTTTAAAGCTAAACAATTACTCCAATTTGTTTCGGCACTTCAGAATACCTTTAATAATAATTACAAATAATTATACAAATAATAAAAAATTGTTTGTACAAATAATGCTTCACCTAAGTAGCGTAGAATAATTAATGAACGATATCTTTAATGTTTTAATTATTTGATGACAAAAAATAAAAAGTTTAACTTGTATTTCCAGAAAACTAATTGGATATCCGGAAAAATTAAAATTTAAAGAAATATCCGGAAAAAGATAATCTCTGATATTAAGAACATTTACAAATACAACATTTGTGAAATTTTCGTTAAATGACATACCTTTTCATGCATGTATATCAAATTTGAAAAACAAATTACCATATGACTTGGTTCTGGAACATGCTACATAGAATTGGTTGTATGAAAACCAAAACATTTCAATAATTTTAGCAACTTTATCAAATGTTTGACACTGACTTTTTTTTTCTGTTATTAGGAGTTAGAGTTACTTAACAATTGAATTGCAAAAAAATTGAGCTCATTCATTAAAAATACTTAACAAAGGAAATTTTAAAAAACTGGTGACACAGCAAACAATTTTTAAAAGGGTGAGTCTATTCGCATGCACGTGTGAATAGACTATATATTGTTATAGTCTATTCGCACGTTTAAAAAAAATTTTAAGTTTGATTTTTGATATGAAATCTCTCACAAACAAAAAAGTTTATAACTTAAGTCATATATTTTGAAAGCAATTTAATTTTTTTAATCAATTATAATTAGATATATAGCGAATAGACACTCTGTTTTTAAAAACACGCTTAAAGAAAACATTCCTAAATGATACTTTTTTTTTCCTTCTTTTTCTTAGTTTGTATTTTTACCTTGTAAATATATTTTACAGAGGGTGATTAATAAAATAATAATAATATATCTTTTCCTGAGTAATTTTTCATATATTTCTGATTTTTCATATATTCCTGAGTGATTTTTCACAAACTCCTGAATGATTTTTCACATACTTCTGATTGATTTTTCACAACCTTTTGAATGCTTTTTCAACTCTAAAAAAACTATTTTAGTATTACAATTTTACTTATTTCAGTCAATTAAGAAAGAAAATCTTTGGTTTGTTGAAGTTTTTACTTACACATCTTACGTTTATGCGTATTACCTTACTTTTATTAGATTGAATTTTTAAAATGCTGCAAAGCATTT